TAGTGTAGACCGGGGTGTTCGTTAGTCAGATGGTGAGTGAAGTAGTGTAGACAGGGGCATTGGTTATTCAGATGGTGTGTGGAGTAGTGTAGACTGGGGTATTCGTTAGTCAGATGTTGAGTGAAGTAGTGTAGACCGAGGCATTGGTTAGTCAGATGGTGAGTGGAGTAGTGTAGACCGGGGCGTTGGTTAGTCAGATGGTGAGTTGAGTAGTGCAGACCGGGCTGTTCGTCAGTCGTATGGTGAGTGGAGTACTGTAGACCAGGGCGTTCAGATGGTGAGTGGAGTAGTGTAGACCAACGCATTAGTTAGTCAGATGGTGAGTAAAGTAGTGCAGACCGGGTCGTTCGTTAGTTAGATGGGTTGTGGAGGTGGTTAGGAGGTGAGTGTAGACCGGGGCCGTTGGTTGTAGTTCGTTAGTCAGATGGTGGGTGGAGTAGTGAAGACCATGGGCGTTGGTTAGTCAGATGGTGAGTGGAGTAGTGTAGACCAGGGGCGTTCGTTAGTCAGATGGTGGGTGGAGTAGTGTGTAGACCAGGGGTGTTCGTTAGTCAGATGGTGAGTGGAGTAGTGTAGACCAAGGGGTGTTAGTTAGTCAGATGGTGAGTGGAGTAGCAGACTGGGGCATTGGTTAGTCAGATGGTGGGTGGAGTAGTGTAGACCGGGGTGTTCGTTAGTCAGATGGTGAGTGGAGTAGTGTAGACCAGGGCGTTCGTTAGTCAGATGGTGAGTGGAGTAGTGTAGACCGGGGTGTTCGTTAGTCAGATGGTGAGTGGAGTAGTGCAGACCAGGGTGTTCATTAGTCAGATGGTGAGTGGAGTAGTGTAGACCGGGGTGTTCATTAGTCAGATGGTGAGTGGAGTAGTGCAGACCGGGGTGTTCATTAGTCAGATGGTGAGTGGAGTAGTGCAGACCGGGGTGTTCATTAGTCAGATGGTGAGTGGAGTAGTGCAGACCAGGGTGTTCATTAGTCAGATGGTGAGTGGAGTAGTGCAGACCAGGGCGTTCGTTAAGCAGATGGTGAGTGGAGTAGTGTTAACCGGGGCGTTGGTTAGTCAGATGGTGAGTGGAGTAGTGTAGACCGGGGTGTTCATTAGTCAGATGGTGAGTGGAGTAGTGCAGACCAGGGTGTTCATTAGTCAGATGGTGAGTGGAATAGTGCAGACCAGGGCGTTCGTTAAGCAGATGGTGAGTGGAGTAGTGCAGACCGGGGTGTTCATTAGTCAGATGGTGAGTGGAGTAGTGCAGACCCGGGCATTGGTTAGTCAGATGGTGGGTGGAGTAGTGCAGACCGGGGTGTTCATTAGTCAGATGGTGACTGGAGTAGTGCAGACCGGGGTGTTCATTAGTCAGATGGTGGGTGGAGTAGTGCAGACCGGGGTGTTCATTAGTCAGATGGTGGGTGGAGTAGTGCAGACCGGGGTGTTCATTAGTCAGATGGTGAGTGGAGTACTGTAGACCGGGGCATTGGTTAGTCAGATGGTGGGTGGAGTAGTGCAGACCGGGGTGTTCATTAGTCAGATGGTGAGTGGAGTAGTGCAGACCAGGGCGTTCGTTAGTGAGGTGGTGAGTGGAGTAGTGTAGACTGGGGCGTTCGTTAGTCAGATGTGGAGTGGAGTAGTGCAGACCGTGGTGTTCATTAGTCAGATGGTGAGTGGAGTAGTGCAGACCGGGGCGTTCGTGTAGTCGACTCAGGTCGCGTTTCCACTATGGACCTATCCCCACTTACAACGAGTAGTACTCAGGTATGCTTGGTGCTTGTTTGACTACCTCCTGTCCTCAAATAACCCCACGATGGACAACAGGGGGCATCAGGAATGAACTTATCGCACTGTACCGTTTTGGGAAACAGGAATCGTGACGAGTGAGTTTAATTTTACTCCGCTTTTAGCAATATTCCAGCAACATCACGGCGGAGACACCAGAAATGGGCTTCACACATTGTACCCATGTGGGGAATCGAACCCGGGGCTTCGGCGTGACGGCGGGCGTTTTAACCACTAGGCTACCCCACCGCCCCTGGAATCATGACGAGCTATGGGGTATCGGATGGAGGACAGGAGTGTGTAATTGGGGTCACAAGCTTGTCAAAACCTCAAATACCCTAGCCCTTCATAACTCCAATATAACCGTTTGTTGTTTTACGCCGCAACAATGTAGGAAGAAAACAAATGGATAATAATAAAAGCAACAACACGCCTGCCCTGACCAACTGCTCAGTGAGGTGAGGTGAGGTGAGGTGAAATTGGGTTTAACGTCGTGCTTGAGAATATTTCGCTCATATGACGACGTTCATGCATGTGTATGTGTATGTGCAGCTGCTTGTACTAGCCCAAACTTAAGCTGGTTTTATAGTGCTAGCCCACTGAGATACCATGCCGCAGTGAAGCATGAATACCCCACTCAGACACATTATACTGACTCCGAGCCGACCAGTCCTTGTTGTACCCATTAATGCCGAGCGCCAGGCAGGGACCAACAAGTACCATATTTTTACGTCTTTTGGTATGACGCGGTCGGGGATCGAACCCGCGATCTACCGCTCTCCGGGCGGACGCTCTAACCACTACACTACGGAGGCGGTCCCAACTGTTCAGTTGTCTCAAAGACCTGTTAGGCATCGGAATAAAAATAACATATGTTCTTTAGGCGTTAGTACTGCTTCAACATCATGTGAGTTTAGTTTTATGCCGCAGTTTTTAATTCTGCGTTTTGGTATTGATGATTTAGAGATTTATTCTGAGACTGATAAGATGATTTTATTATTGATTCATAAAATTACATGATATGAACAATAACAGTTATTATATTACTGTCTGTTGTTTAGTTTTACGCCGAACTCACCAATATTCCAGCTATATGACGGTGGTCTGTAAATAATCGAGTCTGGACCAGACAATCCAGTGATCAACAGCATGAGCATCGATCTACGCAATTGGGATACGATTACGTGTGTCAACCAAGTCAGCGAGCCTGACCACCCGATCTCGTTAGTCGCCTCTTACGACAAGCACAGGTTGCTGAAGATCAATTCTAACCCGGACCTTCACGGTTCTGTGTATTAACAACAAACCACATCCGAACGTTCCATAAGCCCTGTGAAATTCACAACACGACAAAATCTGAATATTCGTCAGGTTTATTTCTGTAGGGTAATAGGATAACACCAGCACTGATTCATCATGACTGCATCACACATGATATGCATAGAACGTAGGACTGGCTGATAAATGTACTGACTGATTGACTGGCTGAGTTTGGCTTTACGCCGCTTTTAGCAATATTCCAGCAACATCACGGCGGGGGACACCAGAAATGGGCTTCACACGTTGTACCCATGTGGGGATTCGAACCCGGGTCTTCGGCGTGACGAGCCAACCTTTAACCACTAGGCTACCCCACCGCCCCGCTGATAACTGTAGATATAGTTCAACGCCAAACATATTCAAACCATATCACAGGAGGGTACACAAACATTTGGCTTCAAATATATTTAGTGAAATCGAGAAAAAAACATTCATTCTCCCTCGTGTTTTGTGACATGTGACGTGAGTGAATGTGTGAAAACGAGTTACCCAAAGGACATTAAGGGACCGTTCATAATTTATGGCTGGGGGTGGGGGTGGGGGTGATGATGATGAATTTTATGGAGGAGCATGTACAATGTGAATGACCCCCCCTAAAATCTATGTACAAATTCAATGACCCCCCTCCACGTCCCATATCTAAGCATAATTCTAAACATATTTTTATGTACAAAATTGCTGATACCTCCTTAATACGTGTGTACAAAATTGCTCCCCCCCCCAGCTTCTCAGAACAAAATGGGTGACCACCCTTAAAACCATCATCACCCCCACTAGCCATAAATTATGAACGGCCCCTAAGGGCCACAAACAACAGGAAGGTCCTTCGCGTTTTAGGTGTTAGTGTTAGTGACTTATGATCGAGATAAGACTAGAGATGTATTGTTGATATTTGTTGTTACAGAAAAATAACCGGACGCGACCGACATGTTGCGGCATCGCACGTGGGTGGAGGAGGAAGGAGTGGAGGAAGGAGGGCGGAAGAGCTGATGACGTTGAGGATGAAAGGAAACAGCTGCAGGTGCCCGCTGCGTTCGTCGTGTCAACGTATCCACAGAATTCACAAAAAGATGAATGACACAAGAGTGAGTGAGTGAGTGAGTTAGTTAGTTTTATTTTTTTCGCCGCTTTTAGCAGCAATATCACTGCGGGGCCGGGACACCAGAAATGGCCTTCACACATTGTACCCGTGTGGGGAATCGAACCCGGGCCTTCGACGTGACGAGCGAACGCTTTAACCAATGAGCTTCCCCACCTCCCCTTCTGTTAACAGACTGACAAATATTGCTTAGAACGGATAACGTCATTACATATAGAAGTTTAAATGGACTTTTATTAATATTTGTTATGTCCGAAAACGTCACGTCGATACTGGTGGGCGAGTGAGTGAGTTTAGCTTTATGATGCACTATTCCAGCTATATGGCGACAGTCTGTTAACAATCGAGTCTGGACCAGACAATCCAGTGATCAACAGCATGAGCATCGATCTACACAAATGGGATACGATAACATGTGTCAACGAAGTCAGCGAGCCTGGCCACCCGATCGTCGCCTTTTACGACAAGCATGGGTTGCTGAAGACCAATTCTAACCCGGATCTTCACGGATCCATCTATCCTGGAGTTGGAGATGGGGATGATAATGATGATGATGATGATGATGATGATGATGATGATGATGATAATGATGGATATAGCCGACCAAACACATGGTTATTGGTTAATAATGTCACGTCACACTGGCAGGCGTGCACGTACGTGTCCTACGAGTACGGATTTCCGAGACTAAAGCATAGTCATACAACGGTAGATGTGGTAACCGTACTCATATGAATCGTCTGTAAGCTTGATGAGTGTCCCAGTTGACATAAAAAGACTAACGTCACAGCCCAAAAGTGACCAACCACTAGTAATGAAATTCAGAACGGTTTTATAGCATTGCTCATAGTCATGTAAAAAACGCCCAACCCTGAAATGGGACTCGAGCCCACGACCATAGCTTTCTTTCAAACCTACGGGATGCAACTCTGCAAAGCTTTTCCCTTGTCACCCGTTTCCCTTTCGTATCCCCAGAGAAATTCAAAGCAGCCGAAGGTGAATGACGATCGGATAACGAGATACGATAACTGCGCTTTTTACCATATAAGCATCACAAATTACTGAAATTTTCGGGCTAGGCACTGAAAGTGTATAACGATTGCACATTGAAGACAAAGTTAAAATGAACTGAACTGCAAAACAGGCCAAAACCTGCTGCAATACAGTAAAAATAAACACTACATAAACAAATTCTAAAATACTTGTATACATCACAAGAGACATAAATTTGTATATGCAATGATAAATTTCTAAAGACCGACATCACTGTCAGTTTACATTCACAATACTATGAAGTCCTTGTGGGAGCCGGCAAAAGTCAAAATGGCCGACTTTTGTTCAAAGGTCAAGGACATGATGGGAGGTAACTGCGTATTATTGACAAGGACAGTAATATGGACATGGATCATGACTGCAGAAAGCATGAGGGCGAAGATCTGTTCAATCCGAGTTGGCTGGACAGCAAGCCAGTTATTTCGGCCAGACATTCACCAGGTTTCCGGAATAACGGGGTTTCAGTATATGTTCACAATATACAACTCACACATGTTAAGGACTATGGCTTTTCCGCTAGAACAATAGTGGTGATAGTTGCAACAGTTGATTTACAGCAACAACCCGCAAGATCCGGGAAGGCCTTTTCTAAGTAGTATATATCGTTTTGTTTTAATTGTTTAACGCCGCACTCAGCAATATTCCAGCTATATGTGGGCGGTCTGTCAATAATCGAGTATGGACCAGACAATCCAGTGATCAACATTATGAGCAGCGATCTACGTATTTGGGATAGTATCTGTGGAATACCAGACAGTGTTACCAACGAAACAGTTAAGATAATCTGGTTATTTATCATGATCACTTACAACTTCTTTGGTTCTGAAATATACACAAGTATCTGACTATACAATGTTCATCACACCATCAGCGACTACAATCATCCTCATCGGCTACAAGGGAAATCATCCCAAAATAATAATCATCATCATCATCATTTTTCGTTTCTTAAGGCAAGACATATAAACTATTTAAACATAACGTCCTGTAGGTCTCTATCTTGAATAACCTGAAGTTTTTTTAAAGGCGTTTAGAAGTTGGACGAACATGAATACATTAGCTCTGAAACGTCGTATAGAGAACAAAATAAGTTGTTATCCATACAACGTGTCATGTATTAAATAACCTGACTTTTAGTACCTGGCATGAGGTTGAACTGTAACAATGCCGACACAGAAATAATTCAGAATAGCTAAGCAAATAAAATATGTATGTACACAATACTGATACTGATAACTTCCTAGGCGGAAATGGGTGTTACCATGTGTTAATGGAACGTATGGCACCATTTGAAGCATGACAAATATGTCCGAATGTAATGGATATATCTGATGATAAAATCTTATTCGTAAAATGTATGGCACTTTTCCGAACCACTCTGCAGTTAAAACGCCATTCATCACTTAAAAGAAATGGCATGATCCACTCAATTTGACTAACTGACTGACTGACTGAGTTTGGTTTTACGCCGCTTTTAGCAATATTCCAGCAACATCACGGCGGGGAACACCAGAAATGGGCTTCACACATAGTACCCTTGTGGGGAATCGAACCCGGGTCTTCGGCGTGACGAGCCAACGCTTTAACCATTAGGCTACCCCACCGCCCCCACTCATTTTGAAATCTTCAAACAAGGAGAATACTCTGAAAATATACCACAACTTAATCCACACCAACAATAAACAACACAAATACTTGAACCCGTCCAGCAACAACAGAAGAAACAGCAACAACTGCAACCAAATAGACCATTGTGGCAGGAAACCCACTAGAAACCATCTAGAAACCATCACACGAAGTAAGTGAGTTTTCGTTTTACACCGCTTTCATCAATATTAAAGCAACATCATTGTGGGGGGACACCAGAAATGGGCTTCACACATTGTACCCATGTGGGGAATCGAACCCGGGTCTTCGGCGTGGCGAGCGAACGCTTTGACCACTTGGTTAGCTCACCGCCCCAGTCATACGAAGGCCACATGATAAGAAAATATGTTTCTTGTCAACACTGGCACTAATTTTGGCTTCCCGTCAAAAGACCAGATTTTGGATAATTTGGGGTAGAGGTGGTACGGGACTCGAAACCTAACAATTTTGTCGGGACCGATGCACATTCAGGGCATTCAAAGGATTGATATAATATAGTTTTGTAAATTCCTGAGGACAATTTGTTCATTCTAACATATCATTTAACAAAATATCTACTCCGCTCTTCAACAGAAAATGAATAGGTTGGTCCCTAAGAGGTTGTACTAAAATATTGGTATTATCGCCTATTTGCTTTCAAGTAACCACGTCAACATCACTGATCACACACCATTATTCTAACAAACATCACTGGAATGATAAGGCACACCGCATTTCTGAACTAAAATTCCTCAAATCCTAATTTCTAATCAATTCCTAAATCTATTTGTATAGATGGACTTCGGTGTCATCAGATATAACGCTTTGTTTCACGTACTTCTTGAACATTCTGACAAAAGCAGGCATAATGCCTTCATCGTGAGATTTCACGAGATCTGGAAACTCCTTCCGGAAGTGACTAGTGGCCTCTTCCAGACGGTAGTGTGGGATTTTTGGAAAGAGGTGGTGGATCTGGTGTGTCCCGATGTTGTGGATGGCGTCGTGAATGAGACCGTAGTGGCGGTCAACGGAGCTGAGTTGGCCCCGCACGTTGCTCCACAGGTGATCCGAGTACCAGGGGATCTCATCCTCGGTGTGATGGAGAAAGGTAATCATGACGATCAACGTGGCGAAGATGAGGTCGGGAACAATGTAGTGGTAAAACAACTTCCAGAATCCAAACGCCATCGCGTAGGAATACAGACACGAGCACCATACCGCCATGGCAACCAAAGTGACGATGCATGCTAAGACGTGTTTGGAGAAGATGGGTTGGAGAGGGTTGAAATGACACACCTGGCGGGGCTTGTAGCCCCGAATTAGATACCCGAACCACCCTACTCCAAGTCCAAACCACGGTAGAGTGACTTCACCCCTACTGTCCGATTTCCTTACCGGGTAGAAGACTTCATCCTTGTCTATGTTGCCTGTATTCTTATGGTGATGCTTGTGGGACACCTTCCAAGTATAGTACGGCGCCAGCAGGAACGTGTGGAACACCGTCCCAACGACGTCGTTGAGGAGGACGTGGTGCGAGAAGGACCCATGGCCGCAGTCGTGCCCGACAACAAACACAGCTGTGAAAAGGGTGCCCTGCGCGAACCAAAGCACAGGGGTCAAGGCCAGGAAAGGAATCAAGGGGAGGTAATTCCACATTAGCTCTCCGAGGACATATAAAGCGGCAATAAGAACAACGTCCTTGAAGGCGTAGTACATCGACGTGGAGACCTTGGGATCGAAACAGTACACTGGAAGCTTCCTTTTGATGTCTACGATGGACGGCAGTTTCCTTGGTAACCGGACTTTGCTAAGAGGATCGCTGTGGTCGTCGTCTGCATCGGCAATACCGTCTTCCGGCGTTTCAGCTTTCTCTTCCGTTACCAAGGTAACAAGAAATACGTTAAGCAAGATCTGCCACCAAGAACCGTCTCCCTTCTTAGGTTCTCCCATTTTCCTGAAACAAGCAAACGACTGTACTTAGATGAAAGGTCAATTTGCAGTGAAAATCACATATTCGGGGCGTCACGTAACGTCACGTCATGAGCCACATGAAAATTACAGATTCATTTGTAATTTTATTATTATTATTATTATTTGCACATTCTTTTCAGGGTATAGACCACATGTCAAATATAATCAACAAAAGGTTTAGAGTTGGATGCTTGTAACACCTTCATGTACAGAGAAAGAATATGTATCATATATAGAACAGCTATGAACAGCCATGTATATTGATCTAATCTTTGCATACACTTAATATGTAAATTTAACTATATCTAAAGAATGATATAATAGGCAAATAGAGTATGTAACGATGACCAAAAATGTTGTAAATTTGTCATATGAGCAAGTTCTAAAAGCAATACATTTTGAGGCATAATAGTATTGGTAGCAAATTTTTGAAACATTTTTTGATCTGGTACTATTCAATATCTTCAAAGGATCATTTCCCTTTTCCTTTAAAACAAAAGTATAATTTTTGGAGTAAGATTGATAGTTATTCTAGCATCAGACATTCATCGTAAATTCATTGTAAATTAGTGTCGTTCAACTCTTGACATTTTTCATCATAACGATGTTCATTGCACGATCAGATTCGTATTGATGTATATCGTACGTTACAACAGAGAGTGAGTGAGTGAGTTGGGTTTTACACCGCTTTTAGCAATATTCCAGCAATATCACGACGGGAAACACCAGATCCAGGATAGGAACCTGTTAGCCGAGTCTATGTGAATGGTATATTCACTACGTGAAGCCTATGTGGTTTAAACATATGTATTCATGTGATCATGACGGGATAGGCAAACAAGCATGGTTTAAACATATATTTCGCCAAAGCAGAAACGTGGATAGGCGAACAAGCCTAGTGGCTTATATAAACGCCGCTCCAGTACATTGTACCAATAGCTGGATACATAAATGAGATACATGTAATTTGACAACAAAAGAATAATACAATAACAGATATATGATTGAGTAACAAATATGTTCGTTCTGGTGTTGGTTATGCCTAGCAACGAAATGGGCTGCCGCAGAAAATCACGTTATATAAAATGTGTCTTATACTGAATATATATGTTGAGGGGATAATCACTGGAAGCGGTTACTTTTAGAAATGAACTGGTGTAATGAGTTAAGAATGTCACTATTAGTTGAGTTATTCAATGCGCCGTTACCGTATAAAGTAGTTTTAACATCATATCCTTGAATATAAAAATACACAGTTGTTCTTAAATTTTGATAGTTCCGACATGTAAAAAGGTAGTGAATAACGTCTTCGTTATAATAACCACATGAGCACCTGGGTGTGTCCGATATATGCCGATTTAATCTGTCTGCGTTTAGATCACTACAGCCAAGCTTGGGGCGACAATGAATGATTTGACAAAATCTAGTTCCAAAATTCAGTAATTGTGAGTTTCTGTTGTGTGTATCATGGTTTTAAATTGATTCAGGGAAATAGCGTTATCAGCTCCATCAGGCAATGAATTCCACGTCATAATCGCGCTCGGTAAAAATGATTGAGTTTGAATGGAAGTACTATTTGTAAGATTATAGTTGCTTTGTTCGAGTACACTACCTGGTACAAGATCGTTCAAATAATCAGGAGTCAGACGATGATACACTTCATAGAAAGTTATGAGTTTAGAGCGATATACAAGCTTATAATATGCTTATATCAATGCCGCTCCCTAACAATGACACAATAGTATTAATAATAACGATAGACAGTGACGTACACATGAACTGGGTTCAAAACATAATGGGAATCTACAAGGACAATACTGACGATATAATGTGTGACAATTTGCAAAGAATCGTTGAATGCAAATAAACTCAGGTTAAAATTTAGTAGCTGTTGTTATGTCAAGATATCAGCAAGGCACGGCATGTACAATAAAACTAGGTGAGGAAAATTGTAGGGCTGCGCAATATAACTGGTTTACCGGTATTTACCGGTTCAGACATGAAAGCGATACGTATTGCGATACGCTGATCGAAAACCGGTATTTTGACATGCATTCGGAAAACTTCCTAACACTCGGAAATCTTCGGATACTTCCGTTTTTCATACCGGAAGTCATGCGTTTGTTGAAAATGGCGACCCCCAAAACAAACAATTTATTGTGATGCCAAATACTGGGACAAAGGCTTCAGTATGGCAGCATTTTGGGTTGAACCACTGTGTTGATGTTTAATTAACGCGATTATAAGTAGTTTTTTGTTAAAAATACTTCTTGCAATATATTGCAATACATATCGCAATGTATGCTTTCGAATCACAATATATTGCAATATGAAAATTCTCTGCAGTACCGACCCCTAGTAAATTCAGAGAATCTCTGGGAAGATATGATATACGAGATTTTGATAGTTCCAGATTTACCTGTTCTGGTGAGCAAGAATGACCATATAAGATTGATGATGATTATTATTATTATATCCTCTACTAAAGAAGTGTGCCTTTAATCTTATGTCGTTAAATGTGGGACTGATGAGGAAGAAATGAAGCGCATTTTCGGAGTGATGCCAGCAGCTACATTAAGAACTATCAGATATATATCTAGTAAACGTATCTCCATTTAGATCGCTACACCCAAGCCGAAGTCATATAACAAATCACAGTTCAAAATGCACATTAAAAACCCCAACAGTTCTAATTCCAAACCCGCGAAGATCCAGGTTATAACTGGTCTTCGGCAAGCCATACTTGTCATAAGATTAGACTAACGGAATCGGGTGTACTGGCTCGCTGACTTGGTTGACACATCTCATCGTATCCCAACTGCGTATATCGATGCTCATGCTGTTGATCACTGGATTGTCTGGTCCAGACTCGATTATTTACAGACCTCCGCCATATAGCTGGAATATTGCTGAGTGCGGCACTAAGGAACATTCACTTCTCCCAGAATCCCAACCAAGGGAGATAATCCCAGCTTGACTCCTGAGAGTTTCTAGGACTTGAGTCCTGCCCCACAACGAAGCACATGTGACACATGTGGTCTCACCTTAGGCAAGTGAGTTTGTTCAAAATTGTCTCTGTTCACCCAGCAGGAAAATGGGTACCCGGTGGAAAAAAGTCATATGACTATAACCTTCTAGCGCCTAACAGGCAGCTTGAGTTATCCGGGGTAATAATGTGCTGTGCCTTGATTGTTAGCGCTATGAGCATACCTAGTGTGGAGTTTGGCGCTATATAAATGGACACATTATTATTATTATTATTAAATGGATACTCAATGTTGAAACATTGTACGAAACAGGTCACTCATTATTGGCTAGCGTTGTGTCAAAGAATATTAATAGAGCGAGTATATATGAAGAGGGATTACCTGGTAACATAATGAGGGAAGGACAAGTGTGGGGGTCAAAGGTTGCGGGTTATTTCAGCCCGATTATGCCTGTCAGCCCAACTCAACTGACCCCTTGTAAATTAATGTGTTGATCACAAACATTTAATGTCTGAAGCCCATTTCTGGTGCCCCCAGCCTTGATTGTACTGCAATATTGCTAAAACTCAACTCACACTCCTTCCTTCAACACAGGCTTACATAAACAGGGGCGTATCTGAGCCAATTATTATGTGTAGGCAAAAAATTTAGAATGCAATTATTATACGTACATATCCATGCTTTCAGCATGTTAAAACATATTCACCTGTAACATTTTTCTTTCAAAATTATCATATCCTTTTTTAAATATTTTGTTTACAAAATGATGTGTAGGCAATTGCCTTTTTGCCTATATGGCAGCTACGCCCCTGGATAAAGTAGATTTACTCTCGCCCGAACTCTCTTCATATGACGTAATTTGTGTGACAGAATGGCGGATCCAGAGGGGGGTTCGGGGGGTTCGAAACACCCCACCCCACTTTGAAATTGATTTAAGACCACATTGAAGTTAATGTTAATGCAGGGGCGGTGGGGTAGCCTAGTGGTTAAAGCGTTGGCTCGTCACGCCGAAGACCCGGGTTCGATTCCCCACATGGGTACAATGAGTGAAGCCCATTTCTGGTGTCCCCCGCCGTGATATTGCTGGAATATTGCTAAAAGCGGCGTAAAACCAAACTCAGTCAGTCAGTAATGTTAATGCATTGGCGGAGCCGAGGGAGGGTTCAGTGGGTTCGAACGCCTCACACACACACACACACACACACGCAGACAGGCACACACACACACACACACACACACACACACACACACACACACACACACACACACACACACACACACACACTTTGAAAATTCCTGGATCCGCCTGTGTTTGCCATATCGACCTGACCGACTAGCCGGGGTGTGGGTGTTGCTGTATATGTTAATAATAATTTCTACGTTAACGATATGGATCAACTATCAATACCAGGACTAGAAACAAAATGGATACAAATCATATGTAAAAACCAAAAAAATACTCAATTGGAACTATTTATCGCGCAGATAAAAGCGAAGCCTACTGGGAGTTAATAGATCAATCAATATGCAATGCCGTGTCCTTAAATATGCAAATCATAATAGCGGGCGATTTTAAGCTCGATATCCTAAATATACGCAACTGGGATACGATATCAACCAAGTCAGCAGGCCTGGTCGCCGGATATCGTTAGTCTTAAAAATAGTTCTAACCCGGATTTTCACCAGATTTCACAATTCATTTGAAAACAATACCCTAAATACACAATGACTTTGGTAAAATGTTTATTCATTTTTTTTTCTGGATAAAACCCGTCCCGTCCTCTTCGCCAGAATCTGAGTGAGTGAGTTTGTTTGTTTTTCCACGGCTTTTCGCAATATTCCAGCAATATCACGGAGGGGGGCACCAGGAACGGGTTTCACACATTGAACCCATGTGGGGAATCGAACCCGGGCGTTCGGAGTGACGCTTTAACCACTGGGCTACCCCACCGACCCGCCAGAATCTGAAATGTCGCAACGATCCGTAGGACATTCATACATTTTCCCAGACTGACCGCTTGTGTCAGTATGTCAAGCAAGCATCATGTACTTGGCTCTGTAATTTTATTCACAAGACGCGTGCTGGCGCGTAATAATTTTAGCTGAAGTGAAACATGACACGAAGGACCCGTGTAGATCCGGTGTAGCAGCCCAGAATACCCCCCCACCAGATTATACCCCGGGGTAAACTATAGGCTAGCCCAGTTTATACGCCGCTTTCAGCAATATTACAGCAACATCACGGCGGGGGACACCAGAAATGGGCTTCACACATTGTACCCATGTGGGGTTTCGAACCCGGGTCTTCGGCGTGACGAACGAACGCTTTAACCACTAGGCTACCCCACCGCCCCTCATAACTCTGAACCAACTATCCATTAAAATAGTCATAAATTCAATAGAAAACTATTGTTTTTTCCCACCGATAGAAAGAATCGAAAGCTCCCTTGCGGCTAGGATAGTTCCCAACTTCCGGGTTCGATTCCCCACATGGGTACAATGTGTGAAGCTTATTTCTGTGTCCCCCGCCGTGATGGTGCTGAAATATTGCTAAAAGCGGCGTAAAACTAAACTCACTCACACGCAGCCGTTGACACCATCACAGAAGCCCCTATCCTCGCGTCGCATAACACCTGTCACCCTCAGCGGAGATTGTGGACGGAGATAACCCGGTCACATCTGTCAGTGTATATTTCCTACAAGCTTTTGACCCGTGAAGGTCCGGGTTAGAATATTGGCCTTCAGTAAACCATGCTTGTCGTAAGAGGCGACTAACGGGATCGGGTGGTCAGGCTCGCTGACTTGGTTGACACATGTCATCGGTTCCAAATTGCGCAGATCGATGTTCATGCTGTTGATCGCTGGATTGTCAGGTCCAGACTCGATTATTTACAGACTGCCGCCATATAGCTGGAATATTGCTGAGTGTGGCGTAAAACTAAACTCACTCACTCACTCACTCCTACAAGCTTTTAACAATACTTCATTGGAGGACATATTAGTCTGTGATATTTACATGTGTTATACACTAGCCACTAAAAGGTTTAGACTCACTAGTGTAAATGTAGCCACTTACTTCAGTCAACCGTCGTAAACTACATTTTGCAAAATATTCCATACTGATTAAAGGTACTTTTTACACATGAACCGATGTATTGTACAACGAATTCGTAACGTTGAAAAGATAATTGTCAATAAAAATGAAACTCAGTGAAAAATTGGCGAATTCTTAACAAAACTTTCCACCAAAACGCAGCTGTTCACATGCACGATATTTGCATATGATTTTCAGCAAGTTGATGCATCATCCTCGTGCAATTCATCTGCATGTGGTTTGCAGTTGGTTTCCCCAAGTTAGTGGAGAAATTCATCTTCGATGTAACCATGTATATACATAACATATAGTGACTGTTTTAAGTGAGTCTAAACATTTGATGCGTAGTATATATTTCGGGCTGACAATAACGGCGCCAATCCTAAACCCATCAAGGGATATGGTCTACCGCGGAACTTCCATGGGCTGTTGTTGCAGTAGGAATTGTTCGAGCTGACCTTTTGAAAGATGGGAGTAATTCGGGCTTACCGCCACTTTTAATATTATGCTAGTTTTGTCATTGAATGTCAGTTTGATATGGGAAGAAAACCCGAAGTGACGAATGTGTCACGCATTCATCACTTTGGTGAACCCCGAGCTGAGTTATGTGACTAGCTTGTCTGTCATACAGACCCTGAAACAAATGTACACAATTCGGCCAGCGCAAGTCTAAATTACCAAAGTTTCAGACAATGAAAGTCTCTGGGCTCTTTTTCATTATATTATATGTATATAATTAACGAACTGTATCTTTCTGTAAAATAAGTTTTTTCGAGGCTAGATGAATTTGAACCTGTAATAACAGGTTTCTGGTGTACAAAAGGGACACAACTCACCACAAATTGCAGCGCACTTGACGATTGGGACACCGAAAACCAGTCAACACAATGAGTGAGTATGGTTTTACGCCGCTGTTAGCAGTATTCCAGCAATATCACGGCGGGGGACACCTGAAACGGGCTTCACACATTGTACCCATCGGGGAATCGAACCCGGGTCTTCTGCGTGACGAGCGAAAGCTTTAACCACTAGGCTACCCCGCGGCCCCCTTGAACACAATGACTTGCGTGGTATGATAGTGCATGGTATGTCGACTTCCTGTCACAGGATGATAACAAGTTTATTTCATCCATTGTTTAACAGCATTAAACAGAATATATTCAGACAAACAATCTCTCTCTAAACAAAATGGCAAGTTTGTCAACCAACTGATTGTAGAACACAAGCCTCTGTGGTTTACAACTCTTTACTATTTAACCGATTTCGAAAGGCAAACCCTTACAACAACGACAGCTCCATGTTCGTCTACATCACAGAAGGGCAGTAGGGTAGCCTAGTGGTTAAAGCGTTCGCTCGCCACGCTGAAGACCCGGGTTCGATTTCCCCACATGGGCACGGTGTGTGAAGCCCATTTCTGGTGTCCCCTGCCATGATATTGCTGGATATTGTTAAAGCGGCGTAAAACCCAACTCACTCACTCACTCATATATCTCTGAAGTCGCGACCTATCGATCTTGATAGGGACTCGCATAAAATAAATTTATCCCCTTGCCACACTAAACTCACAGCGTCAAACCCCATTCGACAATTACATATATACAAACATACACATACATCTATTCGATTTCGATTAACCTAAGAAAATATTTCTGCAGATATTGTTTGAGACATTAATTTTTTTTCGGAAACCGTAGATTTTTATTTCAATAAGTATTAACATTATGTCCGCGGGACCATAAGGTAATTAGTGGCATACACGAAGGTGAACGTATCATTGGACCATTCACAGATAAGGAGCAATTGAACGCGACCTACGCGCATCGATTAGATATGACATTGACAACAGGTGGTTTCAATTTCTCGCGTGAAAACTGAAACAGGCTGCAAGGTTCCACGTTTAACCGCACGTAGACTGCACGTGAATACTAGGCCCAAATTACCTGCTTTGAATAACAATAGAAACTCTGAGCCAAACGACCACAACAACCACCTTCGCCATGGTTTTGCATAAGCTAACTTCACAGCCCAAACCCAGCAGTTCTTCCAGCGGGATTCCCCTCGCGTTACCGCCTCGTTATAAGACGGTGCTGTTCACGAAGACTGACTTATTTGTACACTTCAAACACAAACGCTTCATTTCTATGGTAACCTATTTGTGGTAACGGATTTAGTTTCCTCTTAAACGTCACGAAACCGACATATGAACAGACATATGTTTTCCGACAGAATACTTTCGTCTTTCCAAACCCGAGTCAATGTCAAACCGTCTTCATAAATATTTAACATGGCGAGAATGCCAGAAAATATTTTGTACTGATATTCAGTTAATGTTTTTGTAATAGAACAGGAAATGAATTACGAGTAAAGCTACTTACATGAACGCTGTTCAGAGATGACGATCAAGTCTCTATTTACACAGACGATACTCGCGTGCCAACACCACATGGACTCGCCGGTAACGTGGTCAATGACAATAGGCAATACTAACTGATAAATATATATCGCCGTTTGTCTATTTATAGAGGATGCTTATCATATCATTGTACCCGAACTACATATCACTGAGACTATAAATAGAAATACCAAAGTACGTAAAGTTGGGCTTTTCGACCTTGATGTTTGCATGTAATGCATGATTTATCGACTTGAAGCTCCATCAGCCGATCAAGGTTACTGAGCGCTGATTGGCTGGTTCGTGGTGTGGGAGAGTGCGTGTTTGCCGGGGATAACATGAGAGGGATTTCCTTGTGCAGACCAATCGGCAAGGAAAACATGATATTTAGTGGCCATATACATGAAGTGTCTGTGACATTTTATTACTTGTTACATATATAAACTTTTCACCTTTTCAGTTGACATATGTTCTTTGCATTTGAAGTTAATAATGCGAAACAGGTATTATTTTTTGTGGAACTGTTTTTCACAAACCGGTTTCAGTTTTTGCCTCGTTTTACCATTTTTGTTGATACAACTTGCCCGTTGGCTGAGAGGGCAATTACAGCGTATCAACATGTGTTGCACGGTTTGTGCTTAAATCACAACTTCATTGTTCTCCATTAGCTTTGATGTTTACCGCTTCAACTCTGTTTGACGGCGGTCTGGGGCTGAATCTGGACCAAATTACCCTAGATATAAAGTTACACCGGTACGTTACTGTCAGTGATTAGAAATGATAAGTAAAATGACAATGCTATCAAAACTGTTTTCAAAAGCAATCTGTCAAGAGCCATGCAATAAATACATCCCAGTAAGTGATTTTATCAGCAACGTCGATAAAACGCAATCAACCTGCTGTGTCCATTAAATAAATAAATAAATAAATAAATAAATAAATAAATAAAAATAAATAAATAAATAAATAAATATTTACAGTTTAAAATAGTATCAGGGGCGATGGGCTAGCACAGTGGAGCAAGCCTTCGCATATCATACTAAAGGCCGAGTTCTATTTCCCCCACTGGTAAAATGTGTATAGTCCATTTCTAAAAGCGGTATAAATCCATGACAACCACTCACGCACTCTAACAATAATCACGACATCCAATCCACAATTTAGTCGCTTTTTTGACAGGCACGTGAATACCAAGAGAAGCTAGGGAAAACATTGCCATGGAGACCATTCAGCTGTAGATCTTGACCTGATTAGTCAGATGTAAAGGCTACATTGTTCTACAATCTATCAGGTTTTGCCTGGTTAAAATGACAGTCAGTGAACTATCAATGACTCTTACAACAGTATTTATGATTCACTGAAAGGCCACACTGAATTAATAAATACTAATTTCAACCCAAAATGTTAAAATAGTGTCGTGGGGTTTTGTATTTTTTATATTTTATTTGATGCTATTCAAGATATCTTTTTTCGTTAACTGTTGGAAGACTGATAGGGTCACAATGAATAAGGGGCGGTGGGGTAGCCTAGTGGTTAAAGCGTTGGCTCGTCACGCCGAGGACCCGGGTTCGAATCCCCACATGGGTACTACATTGTGTGAAGCCCATTTCTGGTGTCCCCCGCCGTGATGTTGCTGGAATATTGCTAAAATCGGCGTAAAACCAAACTCACTCACTCACAATGAATAAAGCAAAAATTCATACGTGGTGTATTTCATCACATAATGGAAGAAGGGAACATAAAATATCCTTTTTCAATAAAATTATGTTGGCAAAATATTCGGTTGTGAATCTAGCGGGAGTAAAAGTCAATAATATTAGCTCCAAAGACAGTTATCAAACTTTATTCTGGGTACCCATGAATAACGTGCTGTTCATTATGATGTCATTGTAAATGACGTCAAAGAATGTCATTGTTGACGTCATGTTGACGCTTCTTTACAGAACTTTTATTGATTGTTAATTCATCTGACCCTGAAATGTGGCTAAATAAGATGTCACATTCGTGTTTGTATCATGCTCATTTTAAAACTTAAAATTATTGTAGAAATACTTAAAATTCAAAATGAGATAAAAAGGCATTTGTAAGACATGGCAAAATAACCTACATTTACATAACCAAACTAAAATATGATGTAAAGGCCTTGTTCCTGTTCATCTTGCTGTCTGTCTGCGTAAGTTTACCTGCGTGCGTACGTGTGTGAGGTGCCTGCGTGCGTGCATACGCGTACGTACGTCTGTAACATACAACTACGAGAAATAAACAAGTGTCCCATTACCTGTCGCTGTACCTGTTCTATTTAATATATATAATCCGCACGAAAGTTTAAAATAACACGTATGCACGCACACCAATGAAACAAGTTAATGATATGTGCAAGGTTTTTTTGCTGTTATTTTTGTTTGTTTGTTGTTGTTTTACATTTCCCAGCTATATGACGACAGTCTGTAAACAATTGAGTCAAACAATCTGGTGATTGATGTCATGAACATCGACATGTGCAGTTGGGACACGACGACAGGTATAAACCAAGTCAGAGACCTGTTAGTTTGCTGTTTAATAAACAATCGTAAAATAAATACCAATGACGAATACCAGAATGAATATACAATCAATACGGAGTTAAATATATTCATCAAAATTATTTTGTTCATGAACAAATGATTCCAAAAAATTCTTTCTCGATGACGTCACTTGCAGGTTGCAACCAGAGTGCCGCCTGCAGGGTCAGTTGGTATACGCATAGTTAACCGGTGTATGAGGTCAATAAGTTAACACAAGTTAACATTGGTCATTCGAGGTTAACTCGGGTTAATAGTTTGTTCAATAGGGTTAACGTGGGCCGTTCGCGGTTCTCAAACGGATCGCAATAAATTGCTTCTTTCATTCGACCCGCGAAGATCCGGGTTAGAATTGATCTTCAGCAAACCATCTTGTCGTAAGAGGAGACTAACGGGATAGGGTGATCAGGCTCGCTGACACATGTCATCGCAGCTGAATGGCGTAAATCGATGCTCATGCTGTTGATCACTAGATTGTCTGGTCCAGACTCGATTATGAACAGACCACCGCCATTTAGCTGGAATATTGCCGAATGCAGCATTAAACAACAAACAAATACGTCTTTCATTCAACGAACATACAAGGGGACGTAACTCTTGCAACGTTACTGTGGGTGAGCTCCGAGCAGCTATTCTCGATCCTCAGTTTCCGCCACACAGTTATACATGAATAGACGCGACAAGTGAATATTTCATTTAATGTAAACCGTGATGCTTCTTAGCAGCAGCTGCCTCGCAACGTTTCCAGTTTGCAACATCAGCTGTGATCAACTCTGGCGTGTAAACTTGGTAACCTCGACCTGTGTCAGCTCGCGCAAGAAATACCGCCGCTTTGTGACGTCATTCGTGCGGCAAGGCTCGACAGTTATGTTAATAAGGGCTAAAATTAATGTTGCCCTAGTAATTGTTATTAATGATATTCATGTGTTACAGAAGCATGCAATTGGTTCACTGGGTTTAATTTCATGTTGAAGAGCGTTTTTACCGCCACGCATAACAAAATTTTACTCTCGATCAATTGTATCATTTCTAATCACATTTGTGTAATGATGAATAGAGGGCAAACTACTACAAGCCGACAACATTAGGATACCCGTGAAGATCCGAGGTACAACTGATCTTCAGTAACCATGCTTGTCGTAAGAGGCGACTAACGGGATCGGGTGGTCAGGCTGACTTTGTTGACACATGTCATCGTATCCCAGTTGCGTAGATCGATGCTCATGATGTTGATCACTGGATTGTCTGGTCCCGACTCTATTATTTTACAGACCGCCGCCATATAGCTGGAATATTGATGGGTGCGGCGTAAAACTTGGAACGCATAAACTTTGAAGGGGAGCACAGACATCACGAACACATAAAGAGGCATCATGTACACTAAGAAGAGCATTATACAAACTTAAAAGGACATCATATACACTGAGAAAAGCATTATATAAACTTGAAAGGGCAAGCATTATATACACTAAAAAGATCCCAACATGGGTACAATGTGTGAAGACCGCCTCCGTGGTGTAGTGGTTAGAGCGTCCGCCCGGAGAGCGGAAGGTCGCGGGTTCGATCCCCGACCGCGTCATACCAAAAGACGTTAAAATATGGTACTTGTTGGTCCCTGCCTGGCGCTCGGCATTAATGGGTACAACAAGGACTGGTCGGCTCGGAGTCAGTATAATGTGTCTGAGTGGGGTATTCATGCTTCTCTGCGGCATGGTATCTCAGTGGTCTAGCACTATAAAACCAGCTTCAGTCTGGGCTAGTACAAGCAGCCGCACATACACATACACACGCATGCACGTCGTCATATGAGCGAAATATTCTCGAGAATGACGTTAAACCCAATTTCACCTCACCTCACCTCACAATGTGTGAAGCCCATGTCTGGTATGGATCCCCGCCGTGATATTGCTGCAATATTGCTCAAAGCGGCGTAAAACTAAACCAAACTCACCCACTCACTCACACATTAAGAAGACCATTACATTACCTTAAAAGGACATCATATACACTAAGAAAAGTATTATATAAACTTACAAGGGCATCGTATACACTTATAAAGGCATCATACACACCTATTAAGAGGGCACCCAATACACCTCAAAGAGTATTATATATACCATTATATACACCTACAAGAGCATGATAAACACGTTCACATCATTGAGTATATTGGGCGGTCATTCCCAGAGTCGCACCACCAACACAACCACAGCTTATCATGACGTCTTCCGCTCTGCGTCACAAACAGAAAGATACTCTCGGATATGCAGGTATATGATAAAAATCTATAAACAATGAATTTCCTTTTTCGTAAAATGTTTTATCAATAACGGGACATAGGACATTGCATGTTAACATACATGTATATGCTGTTTTTTATATGTCGCATTAAAATGACTCACCCTCCACAAACACGCGCACGCACGCACGCACGCACGCACGCACGCACCTACACATATACATCTTTGAGTGGCATTTTAGAAGTTGGAGTGAGTAAGGAGTTGGGTTTTACGCCGCTTTTAGTATTCCAGCATATCAACAACCAGAAATGGGCTATATATGGCCCATGAATCGAACTTCGGCGTGACGAATTCTTAACCACTAGGCTACCCCACCGCCCTTCGATTGGAAGTCAGATAGAACAGGTTCCTGACCCTCCTTTTTTCTAGAACGATACAGGTTCAAGAATTCTCGTTTGAAAACGATACAAGAATTCTCACTTGAAAACGATACAAGAACCTGTATCGAAACGTCGTGCTTTACAATAAAAGAAGTTGTCATCCATATATACTTGTTCTATACACATATACACTCACACAAACCCTCCACTTTTCCAACAGGCTATTTTAAACCTCCCATGTTTACGATCTAATATCACTTCCACAGCTATATCCTCCCCTGATACATCCGCAGCGGCTGGCATCATCCCAATTCCCTCCCTCGCCCTCATCAGGGACCCCATGGTTCCCACGTGGGGGTCAGATCGATAGATTCCAGTCTGCAGAAGCCTTTGCTGGCACAGCGGAGTATCGATCTGAGGCTATATCCGTGGTATGCTGATCAAGAGGTGCACGTGGATTCCGTCTTAAAGAAATGTGATTGCTGACATCTGTAGCGTTGATGGGCGACTGTGACGTGACGGTGACGCGACGCGACGCGACGCCTACGCTCACATTCAGCATGTCATACAGATATTTTCCCAGATAATGCATATTCCCAATGTAATCACATGGTTTTGGTTAACGCCTGGGAATCGATGTTTAAAATATTTTCAGGTGTATCTCATGTGATTTTGAATATTAATATAAGAAATCGATTTTTAACATTTTGTTTATATAAGTCTTGCTACTGTTAAGGTACTATTTTCGGACGTTATATTGTAAGGAAATTCGTGTATTTTAAATATTGTTTGAATGATGATATTAAGATAAGGGAATAATTTTATGAGATAATGGGCCAGAAGAATTACATGAAATGACACAAAATCACTGATGCATTTACACGAACTGATACAGTATCATTGATACCTTTACACGAACTGATACAGTATCATTGATACCTTTACATTTACACGAACTGATACAGAATCACTGATACCTTTACACGAACTGATACAGAATCACTGATACCTTTACACGAACTGATACAGTATCATTGATACATTTACATGAACTGATACAGAATCACTGATACATTTACACGGGCTGATACAGTATCATTGATACATTTACACGAACTGATACAGTATCATTGATACCTTTACATGAACTGATACAGTATCATTGATACCTTTACAAACTGATACAGTATCATTGATACCTTTACACGAACTGATACAGTATCATTGATACCTTTACATGAACTGATACAGTATCATTGATACCTTTACACGAACTGATACAGTATCACTTGATACCTTTACACGAACTGATACAGTATCATTGATACCTTTACATGAACTGATACACTGATCACTGATACCTTTACATGAACTATCAGTATCACTGATACCTTTACACGAACTGATACAGTATCACTGATACCTTTACACGAACTGATACAGTATCACTGATACCTTTACATGAACTGATACAGTATCACTGATACCTTTACATGAACTGATACAGTATCACTGATACCTTTACATGAACTGATACAGTATCACTTGATACCTTTACATGAACTGATACAGTATCACTGATACCTTTACACGAACTGATACAGTATCACTGATACCTTTACACGAACTGATACAGTATCACTGATACCTTTACATGAACTGATACAGTATCACTGATACCTTTACACGAACTGATACAATATCACTGATACCTTTACACGAACTGATACAGTATCACTGATACCTTTACATGAACTGATACAATATCACTGATACCTTTACACGAACTGATACAATATCACTGATACCTTTACACGAACTGATACAGTATCACTGATACCTTTACACAAAACTGATACAGAACTGATACAGTATCACTTGATACCTTTACACGAACTGATTTGATACATTTACATGAACTGGATACGAACTGATACAGTATCATTGATACCTTTACACGAACTGATACAGTATCACTGATACCTTTACACGAACTGATACAATATCATTGATACCTTTACACGAACTGATACAGTATCACTGATACCTTTACACGAACTGATACAGTATCACTGATACCTTTACACGAACTGATACAGTATCACTGATACCTGTACACGAACTGATACAATATCATTGATACCTTTACACAAACTGATACAATATCGTTGATACCTTTACACGAACTGATACAATATCATTGATACCTTTACACGAACTGATACAATATCACTGATACCTTTACACGAACTGATACAGTATCACTGATTCCTTTACACGAACTGATACAATATCATTGATACCTTTACACGAATTGATACAATATCATTGATACCTTTACACGAAGTGATTCAATATCGTTGATACATTTACACGAACTGATACAATATCACTGAAACATTTACACGAACTGATACAATATCACTGAAACATTTACATGAACTGATACAATATCACTGATACCTTTACTTGAACTGATACAGTATCATTGATATCATTTATATGGCCTACTGATATGATATGTAAACTTTACCGATACAGTCTCATTGATCCTTCTATATGAACTAATACCACACTAACACAACCCTCGTAACCAAGGTTACTGGTACACTAATGAGCTCAACCATACAAGTCCTTCATACGTCTCTTGGTATAATGATAATAATTATCTCTGTCTCTCGACCGCCATAGCACCAGCCCTAATCGCATTATTGAAATGAATTTTCCATCTTCGTAGGGATATTGTGATCAGCAGGATTGTACCATAATCATAGCGAAATGTATTTGCGATATTACTGACAATCTCTGTAAATCGATAACACCCTACCTAACTCTGCTTGTAACAACTCGCTAGTAACACTACCTTTTCCCGTTACTGGCTTCTGTTGCTAGGAAGCATCTAGTCATGTACATCTCATGTTACATCTTTGACAAGCGTGCAGTTAATAATTAATTTTAATTGGCTTCATCTTGAAAGTGAACTCTCAAAAGTCTTACCAGCGGAGGCAGGAGAGATACAGCGGGTGGTACGAGAACATCGTGAAGACGACAGGGCGATGTTCTGAGGTGCCCAGGTATGTGCCATGTATTCTCAGGGAACCTGTTTGTGTTTAAAGGTGGATATTGTGTTTAAACGTGGCTATTTTGTGTTTGAATCTGGCTTGTATGTGTTTGAAGGTGACTTTTGTGTGTTTTAAGATGGCTGTGACTATTTTGTGTTTGAAGGTGGCTATTGTGTGTTTGAATCTGGCTACTGTGTGTTTAAAGGTGGCTATTGTGTGTTTGAATCTGGCTACTGTGTGTTTAAAGGTGGCTATTATGTGAATGTGGCTCTGTGTGTTTTAAGGTGGCTATTGTGTGAATCTGGCTCTGTGTGTTTAAAGGTGGCTATTATGTGAATCTGACTCTGTGTGTTTAAAGGTGGCTATCATGTGAATCTGGCTACTGTGTATTTCAAGGTGGCTATTATGTGAATGTGGCTCTGTGTGTTTCAAGGTGGCTATTATGTGAATCTGGCTACTGTGTGTTTCAAGGTGGCTATTATGTGAATCTGGCTACTGTGTGTTTAAAGGTGACTATTCTGTGAATCTGGCTACTGTGTGTTTAAAGGTGGCTATTATGTGTTTGATGTTGACTTCGGTACTACTGAAGCCAGGACACTATATCTGATTGTCCGGGCTACTGAGGTGTCCGCTCTGTTGAAGCTCAGTCTTTATTCCCGTCCGTTTTGTCTTCTATACTACTGAAGCTACGGGGCTACCTGAACGCCCGGACAACTGAGATTCCGGTTTGTTGAGGTTTTCGGATTATTATTGTATCCAGTTTAGTGAGGTGTCCGGACTAGTAAAGTTGCGGACACAGTTCGGTTTTGGGTAGAAAACAAGAACGTTACAACGACTGCTCTTGACAAATAAACCTCACGTTTTACTAAACCAAATAGGGGCGGTTGGGTAGCCTAGTCGTTAAAGCGTTCGCTCGTCACACTGAAGACCCGGGTTCGATTTCCAACATGGCTACAATGTTTGAAGACCACCCGCCGTGATATTGATAAAAGCGGCGTAAAACCATATACACTCACTCACTAAACTAATTAGCAATCTTCTTTTCAGAAGATGTAGAACTGACGAAGATTTGTTTAATGCAATGTTTCGGTTTCGGCCTGCAAAAAGAAATAAAACTCCATAAGCCAACTCTATCTTCACTCAGTAAATGAAAGGGTTCAGAGCGTCTCAGTTGAAACAAAGCAAAACTTAGTGCCACCAGGCAGTTCGATTATTGATTTAGTTGTCACATCACCCATTGAACTGGTACTTCTCCAAAGCCTTTACAAAACTGTATGTTCAGAAAATATGCCAGAACGTGACAATTCTGAACCCGAAAGAAGAAACCCAAATCAATGGCCTGCATTTTTAAGTCAATACTTTAAAATATTTATCAAAATTAACAAATGTTGAAATATATAAAAAGTCACATGGCACTGTGAAAACACACGAATTGGGTTTAGCGTGTTCTGTTCTTTTTCATCTCAATATTCAATGCACGGTAAGTACTGAAACTATGAATGAAGGAAGCTGACATCTGTTTCACCGAGACTCGTTGTGTTGACGAATCAGCGGCTGTTGTTACACACAATAGTATCTTCCGTGTGTGCTCCACGCGCTCACAAGTAGCTCGTACTGACGAACTCACAGGAGACGCCATGAAGGTACTGTGAAATTCTTACTTTGTCATTTCATCTTCGAGATCTGGACAGATTACGGTGCCTAAACAAAACACATTCGCCAACCAGTGCCATGTGACACATGCGTGTATGTTTGTACATCTGAATATGTAGGTTACAACCGGTGTGTAAGTGTGTACCGAAGAAGTAGAACGTTCGGTTGATATACAGTTTGTTGTTAATCGGTATTTGCCGTCATCGGTATTCATTTCCTTTCTTGAAATAAGAGGAAATATTCCGAATAAGCTCCTCGAAAGATGAAATAATTTCCCGAATACGAAAATATCATGAGTTCATCTTGTGTGGCGTTTATATATTGTTATATGTCAGACAAATTTCGAAACATTGCTATCAAAATATATATTTTCAAGTAAGACTGGCGCATTGAGGTAGCACAACGGTTAAATCGTTCGTTCGAGACACTGAAGGTGTGGGTTCGATTCCCACATTGGTACAGTGCGTGTAACCCATTTCTGGTGGCCTCGATCGTGGAATATCACTGGAAGGATCGTGATATTACACTCTTTTCCTCGAAACACACACACACACACACACACACACACACACACACACACACACACACACACACACACACCTGTACTTCAACACACACACACACACACCTGTACTTCAAGCTGTCACACTGACACACCGAAGACCCGGGTTCGATTTCCCACATGGGTACAATGTGTGAAGTTTCTGGTGTCCCCCGCCGTGATGTTGCTGGAATAGTGCTAAAAGCGGCGTAAAACCATGCTCACTCACTCACTCACGACATCTAGCATGTGCAGCAATCAATGTTTTTTCGTGTGTACAAATTGGCTGTGATATGAGTTAATCCCCGTAGATATGTATCCATATAAACAAATTACGTCAGCCAATATCTTTGTCAAAATCGAATTTGTCGTAACATATACTATATTAAGAGCCATCGGCACCTTGGTAGAAGTCCCTGGTATTGATCCGTGATTCATTTGTTCTATATTTGTCAAGTATTAATTAAAATCGATCGGACACCACTTATCGCCTGTCCATTACGGAAGCCTATCAAATTTCAACTCCAGGGTATGCGTTCGTTCCTCTTCTCTGATTGGTCAAAACGTGCATCAACGGCCAATTAGAATGCGTTAGCGACTTCACACCGTATGGTGTTTTTACCAACGTCTTTGCATACTGCAGTCACCTGTAAGGGCAAAAGATTGCAAAACGCGGTTAAAAACAAACTTTAGGTTACGTAGTCAGTTGACAATCAAATCTTTGATTTGTATCAAAAATTATTTTATTAAAGTTCAGGTACGCGAATACATTTCGAGCGGCTAACTGGGGATCGGTCACATTTTACACTGCAGACTAAGGCGCTCCGGGATAGAACTGGACTTCCGTAACCCATGCTTGTCGTAAGAGGCGACTAACGGGATCGGGTGGTCAAACTCGCTGACGCATGTCATCGTATCCCAATTGCGTAGGTCGATGCTCACGCTGTTGATTACATGATTGTCTGGTCCAGACTCGATTATTTACAGACCCCCGCCATATAGCTGGAATATTGCTGAGTGCGGCGTTAACCTAAACTCACTCACTCCGATTCGCTATGTACCGTTGTGTCCCTTAGACAGGCCAATCGAGGTTTCGAATTTCAGATTGCAAAATCCAGGTTTGTCATCACCAAAACACTGTTCCTGGGTTTCATGCAGGTGGTAAACGCCTGAATTCTCCTTCATCTGCCATATTAAACTGACATACCATTCTATACCTGATGATATAACCCTCACTAACTCCTAACCCTCGAGTACCTGTCCTTCCTGAATCCGGTCGGAGTTACCTCCCTTTCTCAAGACGCCATTTTGTGGCAACAAAGCTTCTCATAACCCAGTGACGATATGTTAGACACTATGTTCGTGACCTAAATCTGCCTTTCAGTTGTCTTTCTGGAATTACCCAGGCGTCAGCTAGGCAACACCTTGAGCCATGCTTACAATTAGATCTTAAGCAGTCGTTATGAAAGCGTGCTTTGGTAGACAGGTCCAACGTCATATTCAAAGGTTTCCATCAGACTTTAAACGGTTACTGTTGATCTCGACTTTGAGGGAGACGCTTTTTGTCTCGTATCTTACCAGCTTTCTTTTCTTTCATGCGACATGCGGATGGGTAGTCTAGTGGTTTAAGCGTTCTCTCGTCACGACGAAGACCCGGGTTCGATTCTCCATATGGTACAACGTGCGAAACCTATTTTGGTGTCCCCGACGTGATTTTGCAGACGGCGGTGGGGTAGCCTTGTGGTTAAGCGTTCGCTCGTCACCCCGAAAGCCCGGGTTCAATTTCCAAACTGGGTACGACGTTTGAAGCCCATTTTTGGTATCCCCCCGTTGTTATACTAGTATACTGCTAAAAAGCGGCCTAAAACCACACTCACTCACTTCTAGGATCCGAGAGCGGAAGAAACGTACGCCCATCAGACAACACCCTGCGCTACAACAGGTGTGAGCGTCCAATAGGTCAATTTGACGTTTAAAATTTATTACAACACCCGCTCCTACAGCTAATAAACTTTCCGATGGACGTTGAACTGAAACTATAGAATCTAACTGCACTGACACATTCAATATGTTCTGATAATGTTCTAACAATCTCATTCGCCATTTAAGACGGTTCAAGTACGTGTGGTTAATATAGCCTAAAACCAGACGGGGATGTTAAATCGATATCTCTGTAAGACAGCGTGGTAGTGTGGGGATAAGTGGGAGAGTGTGTCTATTGTACGCCAGCACGTCGTCTGCAGATGATTGTGCCGGCAATCGAAGACGTAGGTGCCAGCTGGTTCTAGGACAAAAGGCTAAGACCAAGCGACAGATGTGTCCTAGCTTGTGTTACCGTATTATTAGGCATTGGATTGTTTTTCAAGACAGATTTTAGTCATTGACTGTGTCAGTAACACATTCACTCAGGAAGGCCACATATTTTCCTTCTGTCAAGGGTTATATTTTAACGTGCCAGTTAAATCATACCTAGTTTTTGTGGTGTGGTTTTTAGTCTTGATGATACTCTTTGACTACGACCTTATGATGGCAAGACAGGCGTAATGTGACAAGTCCCATGTTCTTCGTAGGAGTAATGTAGGACAGGGAGATCATCTGTTCTTTCCAAGTGAGAATTCCGATTGGTGTGTAGTGGTGGTGGTGTGTGGTGTGTGTGTGTGTGGTTGTGTGTGTGCGCGCGTGTATATATATATATATATATCTGTGGTGTGTGTCTGTGTGTGTGTGCTCTGTGTTGTGTGTGTGTGATGGTGACTGTGTATGTGCGTGGTGTGCTGTGTGCTGCGTGTGCGTAGGTATGGCGTGCGTGGTGGATCTT